TTTTTTTTTTTTTTTTTTGTACAAGGGATCAAACTCAGGACCTTATGCTTGCAAAGCAGGTGGCAGAACCACTGAGCTAAATCCCCAGCCCTGGCTGAAATTCTTGATGAGATCAACGATCACTGTTTTGATTACTAGGGGAATGCAAATATTGCTCACTATTAAATTAAGAAGTCTATCAAACCACACTCCTTTCTTGTACTACCTTCATTTTTTTTTGAATGCTTAACCTTTTTCATATCCTGGGTTCCTATCAATCTATCCTTTTTCTCCAAGTGTCCGGCATTCTTGTCTATCTTAAGCACTAATTCCAGGTTCTTCCCCAAGATTTCCCTCCTGTCCTCCTGCTCTTATCTGGACTGGTTGCTGTCTTGAGAATGCTGCACAGTACCCTGGACTTCCATTGACCCATGTGTTGGATTCTTCATTTCCTGTGACTGTACACGAAGAGATGGTAATGTTCACGGTGATGATTATGTTGGTTTATTATGGAGTGTGGCAGAAGTTACTCTGTTATTTATTTGAAAAGTATCATATACATTAAGTTTACACAAGTTCTTAGAGGGCTGGTGTGTAGCTGAATGGCAGAATGCTTCTTGCCTAGCATGTGAGGCCCTAGGTTCTGTCCCTAACCTTTGAAATAGGGTCTGAGTCACTAAGTTGCCCAGGGTGGGCTTAAATTTGTGATCCTCCTGCTCCAGCCTCTCAAGAGTGTAAAAGTCTACATTCTTAACCATATCTTAGTGGCTCTTAAATTAAGTTCAATGAACACAAGTTGAATACTTTTTCCAGAATATATTTTCTTGGAGCCAAAAGGCTCCAAGCCAGCCTCAGAAAATCCTCTCCAAATGCATGCGAGATTTGTGTTATGTACAGAGGCATATTTTTCTAGGGGATAAGAGTCAAGGCTTCTGATAAATACTTAAAGGAATTCAGAGCTCATAGCTAAAAAAACCAAAATAAAGCAAAAGCTATTAAGGACCTATAAGAATCCCTCTTTCAGCTTTAAAGTCTTGGAGGAAACTGGCAATCCATGTCTGTAAAGAGTGACACGAGAGAACTTGCACTTCCTAAGAGACAAATGTCAGTAGACCATGATGAACAAGACATTAAAAGGAATTACAGCTTAATAAACTATGGTACCTAAGATTGCTACTTAACATTTGCTCTATTACACAGAGTTCAAGTAAAATATCTCATCTGGAACTAGCCTTGATCTGATACACAGCATGCTTAAGTTTTTTTTCAGATTTATAAGCCAAAGAAAAAGTCTAATACCTAGTTATATATAAAGTATTTATTTTTATGCACATATTTACCTACAAAATTTACAGAAAATAAAACAAAGCAGAATATATAGAATCCCCTCTTAAGACTTCTTAGGAGCAGAGGGTTTTATTGCTGCAGTTCAAAGAATAAAATTTTATACACACGAAAGCCAAATGAACACATTTAAGTTAAATGTGTTAAAAAGTTTTTGTCCTATTATGAAATGTCAGCTTTATGTTAAATGAAATTTAAAAGACTGCTCATGTAATAATTTAAACCTTTTCAAAGTCTTCTAAACAGGTAAACAGGTAAAAGGCACCTCTAGTACTTTAAAATATTTACAGTAATCCCAATAGTTTAATGTTATGGGCTCTAATAGTACATGTGGCTGTTATGCATACACAGTATGTCATTAACACTCTCTGAACAGTGAGAATTGTAGACTCTGGTTTGTGGCACACTCCCGTGTTGTCCTGGTGACAGAGGAGGACACTCAGTTACACCACATAGTACTTGTGTAACAGTATGTCTATCACAAGACAAACCCCAATTATCTAAAACAATGACTATCAAATTCTCGGACTATATAATTTATAATTGAATTTGTACATTCAGGAGACTTTGGGGTGTTCTTAAAACTCTTAAAAAATATATTTAGTGTTAAATGAAAATAATGAACTGAAAAATGGAACAATAGTTGCTGCAGTTCAGTCTTGTTCAACAAAAATTGTTTCTCAAAACATCCATAATTGCTTACAACATAATGGGGATGAGTTTTCCTCAGTCTAAGCAGAATCTGATGTTTTTCCTGCAGTACAATTTTAGAAGAGGAGTTAAGAATGAAAGGCACACATAATAGCCGGTTTTAAAAAGCCGTAGGGATGGCAAGCAGATGTTCCTGAAATACTGGTGCAGGAGAACAAAGTCCACACAACATTTTCTTCTTTAACATTGGCATTGATTTGCTATTTACAGTAGTCTGCAAAAATACATTATAAAAAATGAATGAGGTTCTGTTTCTAAGTTTAACTTAGTAACATACATACTTCATCTGCAAAAATCTGCAGGAGCTGAAGTACTAAAGTGACACTAATACTGAACACAGGTAATCAAAGGTACCAAAGCACTGATAACTTGAGTTATCACCATCAAGATCATCTGGGGAAATATTGCACACTTCTTGTCAGTTGTTGCTGTAGCCTTCACATTTCCAACTGCAAAAGGAATCCTTTATGGCTTTTTGCTGTATCACTTATTTGAAGAAAAACTGTTTTAGGTCCTATAACAATGAGGGCAGATTGTCATTGAACATGAGGCCTAGGTTTCAAAATCAGTTTTCCTGTCTGTAAAAAAGAAAAAAATAAATTTTTTCACAGCACAGTTTTATACAAAAATGCCACCACTTAATTTATATATATTTTTTGTTTGTTTGTTTGTTTTTTACTTAATTTATATATTTTAAAGGGCATTTGAAGGGAAACGATACTTCTCCACAATCAAGATTAAACAGTTTTTAAAAAAAGGTTAAACAGTTAATAGTTGTATTTCAAATTTCTTTTATGTGGTCTGAATTATTACTTTAAAATACACATACACAGCAAGGCTGGGGTGTAGCTCAGTAGTACAGCACATGCTTAGCATGCATACAACCCTGGGTTCAATCACTAACACTAAAAACCACACACATAGAAATCACTTAATCCAGTGGTTAAATAAAATTCCAAACTAGTACAAATTTATGCTTTTTACAAAACAAAGTTTTTAACACATGAAACTAGTTTTTGTTTTATTTTCTTATGGTACCGGGGGTTGAACCTAGGGCCTTTGAAGTGAGCTACCTTCTCAGCCCTGTTTCACTTTGAGACAGGGTCTAAGTTACTAAGTTGCTTAGGCTGGGCTTGAACTTGTGATCATTCTGGCTCAGCCTAAGTGCTGGGATTATACACGTATGCCACCATGTCTAGCTACTACCTACAACTATCTGGGCAAAACTTTTCTCTTTTCCAATATAAACAAGTTTTAATTTGGACAAGTTAAAAAGTGAATTATGCTGGGCGTGGTGGTGCACACTTGATATTTCTGTACTTGGGGACAGTGAGGCAGGAGGACTACCATGAGTTCCAGGCTAGCCTGGGCTACATAGTAAGACCTTGTCTTTAAATTTAACAACCAAAAAAAAGGGTAAGTGAATGCTTGCAGCAGTGAATACTTATACAATGATTTATGCACTGCTGATGTTCAGTATGTGTTGGTAAAAACACTGTGTAGAGCTGAGTTATATTTATTTCCAACACAGCAGCACACGGGTGTACCCACTGCAACACAACACTGCAATTATCAAAGAATTTAACTTTCGCCAATAAGACAGGTAAAACAAATGGAAAGTCATTGTTTTAAATTGGATTTACTCCATTACAAATAAGGCTGCCCCATCTTTTATGTATTTATTTTTAAGAATCAGGGTCTTATACTTGCCTAGGATGCTTAAGGTCCTGGGCTGGATCCCCAACTCCACAACAAAGAAACAAATAAACAAACAAACAAACAAAAAGTAGGGTCTCACTATGTCACAAAGGCTAGCAGAGAACTCCTGGGTTCAAGCAAACCTGCTTTAGTCTCCTAAGTAGCTAAGGCAACAGGTGTGTACCACCATGCTGAGCTCTCTGTCGACTCTATATGATTACTGGCCATTTGTATTTTCATTTCTGTGATCCATTTTTCCCCAGTTTTTATTTTGTGGGTGGGGTACCAGGGCCTTGTGCAATGCTAGGCAAGTGCTCAATCGTTAAGCTACACCCCAGCCTACCATTTTTCAAATGTACTAGGCTATTTTGTCATTAATTTTAACTAGGTCTTTTACTATCCCAGATATGATCCTCTATTACACAATATGTAAATACTTTGTTATTTGTTTTTCTGAAACAGGGTCTCTCTGGCTGGCCTTGAACTCACAGTGATTCTCTTGCCTCAGCTTCACAAGTGCTAGGACTACAGGTGTGTACCACCATGCTTGGTTCATAAAAATACTTTTTCTAATCACCGCTGCGAATCACAGGATCTCACTATGTCACTAAGTTGCCCAGGCTGGGCTCAAATTTGTGATTCTCTTGCCTCAGCCCCATGGGTAGTTGGGATTATAGACATGCAATACCACATACCTGCTATTATTCAGCCTTTATTCTATTCCAGTTATTTTCTTGCTCTAATACCTTTTTTTTTTAAACTGGAACAGGGGATCAAACTCAGAACCTTGTGCTTTCAAGGCAGGGAGCAGCAACACTGAGCTAAATCCCTAGCCCTTTAACACTTTTTTTTTTGAAGGTGCCAGGGACTGAACTCAGGGCCTTGTGCACAGTAAACAAGCTTTCTACCACTGAGCTACATCCCTCAATGCATTTTTTAACTGTTTATTCTCATTTTATATAATTACTTATTTTATAATTTTTAAAAACTGAAGGTAAAAAAATACTTTTACAAAAAAACCAAGCAGGTGAGTATGGTGGCACACACCTGTAATCCCAGCACACAGGAGGCTGAGGCAGGAGGACTGCCATGTGTTTGAAGCTAGCCTGGGCTAATGCGTTCAGGGCCAACCTGAACTACAAAGCAAGACCCTGTCTCAAAAATAAATAAAAGCATATCAAAATAGAAAGTAATAAGGGGCTGGGGATTTAGCTCAGTGGCACCAAGCCTGTCTTGAAAGTGCAAGGTCCTGAGTTTGAGTCCTGGTAGGGGTGAGGGGTAATAATAAAAAATGTGAGATATTCTTAAAATACACTAGTAGATGATCTACTGTTTAAAACTCAGTAGATCATATGTGCAGTCTATAAATTTGACAGAAATACCAGGAAATAAATAAGTTTATAAAACCAACATTTCTTGAGCCATTTTTGGTCAATTATGATCACCATAGTTTATTGAATTTAAGATGGCTTCAATTATATCATGAGTTTACATCATTAAGACAGATGAAATTGTTAACTGTGCCAATTTAATTGTTAGACACCATTGTAAAATGCATCTCAATCTCAGAGGTGTTAAAAAGTATCACAGAATCAGTGCTTAAGGAATAATCTATTAATGCCATAGATAAAATCTGTTGTTAATAAAATGTCTTTTTCTGGATTGGGGATTTAGTCTGGTGCTGCTACCTGCCTTGTAAGCACAGGGTCCCGAGTTCGATCCCTGGTACCAAAATGAAATAAAATGTCTTTTTCTAAAGCTAAATGTCTCGGTTCTTTATGCAAGCCTATAATTTTTTTAAATGAAAAAAATACTTACATCATCACAAGACATATTGTACTCTGCTAATACCGTTCGACATCGAGCAGCTATACTGGACAAATGTAGTCAAGAAAAATTTCTCATTTCAACACGAAACACCTAACAACCATCCAGATCACTGAGAAGGAGCTTCCGTTATGGCAAAGGATACATTGATGGTGCAACTACTCTCTTGTGTATTCCAGCAAAAAACAGGCCTATTAGTGTGATACAGCTAATGGTGAAAAATGGATGGTTCCATAATGATGTGAAGAAGGACACCTAGAAAAGTTTAAATAGAAAAATGTTAAAATCTTACAATCATACGGAGTCCTATTATGCATAAATACATGTATTATTATCATCTAATAGGTATGTTGTAAAAATAAAAACGTATCCTTTGTAATGTTGACATGGCAAAAATATAGCAACATCTTCTCCATTCCTTTCAAATACCTGAGCTATTACAAAGTCATTTTTACACTCAAAAAACAACCTCACCTAGAATATTACTAAGCTCTTTAATTAATGAGGATGAGGCCTGGGGATGTAGTTCAGTGGCACTCTGCCTGCCTGGCAAGTGCAATGTCCTCAGTTTGATTCTCAGTACCAAAAAAAAAATAATGAGGATGAGACCTCTAGCCTAAGAAAAATGCAAGTCAAATGTGATCTGGCTAACTTTTCTGATAAAAAGATTCCTTAAGAGAGTTGGGTAAGCTGTCATTCATAACCTGATCCCAGGCTAATCTTTATTTCCTGCCACATTTTTTATGACACCTTTCCCACATACTCCTATACATAATCTTTGTAAGACTCAGCTCCAAAATCATTCTTCCACCTTGAAGCAAAGAATGAGTTTGGTTCTGAAGCTACTGAGATTTTGATGGCCACAGGATATTCAAATAGGGGAAAACAATTAGTATACCATAAAGAATTAGGAATTCACCAGAAGTGGTGGCACAGTACAGCAACCTCAGGTACTGGGGAAGCTGAGGCAGCAGTATCACAAGCAAGTTCAAGGGCAGTCTAGGCAAATTAGCATGTCTCAAAACAAAATTTTAAATGGGCTTGGAGATACAGCTCAGGGGTAGAGTACACGGCTGGCATCCCTGAAACCCAGCTTGATCCTTTGCACTGAAGAAAACAACAATAACAACAACAAGTTAAGAGAAGAAAGGACTTATTTCAGATCTGGTCATAATCAGATGACAGAAAACAGGACAATACACAATTCTAAGAGTATAGAAAAGACCAAGAGCCCACGATGATCCATGACTGGAACAACAGAGGGCTAAAACCAGATGAATGGGCAACAGAAACAGACTTAAGAGAGAGAAGACGACCATTTAGAGCAGCTAGAAAAAAATCAAATGGACTAGTAACTAGATGGGAGTAACAGATTCAAGCTAAGCACATCCCACTCAAACACCAAAGAGATGTGTTGTGTTTTAAGATAGAAAACTAAACACATATGCTTGTTACAAAGACAGAGAAAAACACTAGGTAGATATTTCAGAAAGGTCAAACAAAGGAATGAGAGGCTGAAAATATCTGGAGGGAAGAAGCTCCCCAAAAGGTGAGACCCTGAAAGAAAGGTTATTATTCCAGAGGCATAAAACTTAAAACTTGGGGGCTGGAGATTTAGCTCAGTGGTGCTACCGCCTGTTTCGCAAGCACAAGGTCCCAAGCTTGATCCCCATTACAAAAAACAAAAAAACAAAACACCCAAAAAACAAAAACCTTAAAACTTGGAGGACACTTTAATTCCCATAAGCCAGTGTGTGGTCTGCACCAGGTCAGCAGATGTAGTGCTTTATGTGTTCCTATTAATTAGCTCAGTCAGTATTCGCCCCCTTCCTCCATGACAATAAACGGTAACCCTGATTAGCACCTGCCATGCTCCTTCTCTGCCAGGTTTCTTCCAGCTAGCCACGAGCTCCCCCTACTCTTTCCCATGTAGCCAATGACTTCTGTGCTTACAACTCCCACTTTAGACACAACGGCTGGGTAAAGCTATCATCGGGTTTGGGATTATTAAATACTGAAATAAAAAGAGCCAACCCTAAGGCTAATAGTGATATTCTCACCTAATTTAGAAAATTATATTAACTACATAGTTTGGGGCCTATTTCAAATTACATTTAATTCTGTGTTTTATTAAGATCTCAACTAGCTGAAAGCAGCTTATATTTTTTCCAATTAGAAGTCAGACTCATTTCCCAAGACAGACTTTTTCAATCTTACCAGCCTCTTTCCACTCTTCCCCTAAAGATGAGTACCAAGCACAACCCTCAGATCAGATTTTTATAAATGAGCACACAAGAGAGTTTCCTGTCTGCCATAAAATCCCCTCTATTAACATAAAATTCCATCACCAATCTCCCCAGGTTCCTAGCCTTTGTATCTCCCCCTCTGTGGCTAGTCAGGGAGACCACATGCTAAATAAACCCTTGGCTGTCTGAAGCACTATTTAGACTGATGACAATAGTCTTACTATTAGGTTTTTCTTTTGTAAAAACTTAAAAGGTTAAAATAACACTAAGTGACAGACTCTATTTAATTAGAGTTTCAAGAGAGGGAGCGATTTTTAAGACTTATGAAAATGATAACACTGCCACTGGGGGAAAATCGTTCACTGAAAAATTGGAGACTACTGCTTCCAATAAAAAAAAAATCTTGAGTTTGAAATTAAGGCATAAATTCGTAGAAAGAGGTAGAAACATTTTATCAGGTTCCATCAAAGAATGCTTCAAGAGATACCATTATGAAATGTGATACTGCATTCAGTACAGGGATGTTCTTGCACAGTGCCTGATGGGAGAGCTCTCAGCATTTCCTGTATTAAGCTCCAGGCAGGAAATTTTAAAGATATAAATTCTGATAAAGAAAAGCATTGCTAGCTCAAGAAACTGACACATATTTCTCACAGACAATGAAAAGCACAAAATTAACTGAGACTTCAGTTACTAGGTAAGCTCAATTCTGGCAACATTGCTGGGTCACACGTCCTATATACTAGCGACCTGGTTTCCCTCCTCGTTTTGACCTCTTAGTCTAATCTGGCTTTTACCTGATCATATTTTGGTGCTTTGCCACACGTTCCCTATAAAGTCATCCCAAATGCTTTGTGGGATAAAGAATGATACTAACAAACATAACTCATAGAAGGAAATATTATTAAAAGCTGGCACTGAAGACACTAAATGAACAGAGCAGAACAGAATGCTCACAGTGAAATAAAGCAAAAATGGGGTAAGTTTAAACAAATGTAAAAGTGCTACACATAGAGCCGGGGATTTAGCTCAGTGGTTCAGTGGCCTGCCTTGCAAGCGCAAGGACCAGAGTTCAATCCCCGGTACCAAAAAAAAAAAAAAGTGCTACACCAATTGAGAAATGAAATGCAAAAATAACTTAAACGGAGTAAATTTCTTAGGCTTTTCCCCTTGCAAAGAAATTTAAATCACAACAATCAGCCATAGTTTTCCTTAAGCAAATTAACATAGGGCTTATTTTTAATATAATGATTAATGTCATTAGTAGAAGTTATAGGTTGCATTTAAATAACACTTTACAATTAATAAAGCACTGATATACCCATTACCTTATTTAGTCTACTAAAGATTTTAAAACAAAATTTCTACCTTTTGTGTCTCAGGATCTATTAACCAGTTCCAGGCACCAGTAGCTGTACAGACAGACACCACTATAAGAAGCACTGATGAAAGATAAACAGAAAATTAGTAAGCAAATACACCCTTCATACTTGATACTACCACCACCAGTCCCTGATGAATGAGAGCCAAGGAATACAACCCTGTATTAAGTGGAAAATGCATTGGCTGGACTCAAGCATTAGGAGACTTGCCAATGATTTGAGGAATTCTCTAAACACTCTGAATTAGTATTTGAACATATATCTGAGGATGTACTGACTCCCTTATTACTTAGCTAGATATTATAAGAATGAAGATTAAAAGTCAGGGATGTAACTCAGCAGTGCTATACCTTCCTGGCAAGAGTAGAGTTTGATCCCCAGTAAAAAAAAAAAAAAAAAAAAAAAGATTAATGATATTAAAAGCCAAAACCCCAATGGTAGAACGTCAATATAAGATTCTATACTTCTTTTTTTAATGCAGTGATGAGGACTGGACTCAGGGCCTCCACAGTGAGCTAAATCCCCAGTGTTTTTTTTTTTTTTTTTTTTTTGGTACCAGTGATTGAAACCAGGACCTTGTGCTTGCGAGGCAGGCGGTGTCTTTTTTCTTTTTTGAGACAGTTCTTTCTAAATCACTAAATTGCCAAGGCTAGGCTTGAACTTGTGATCCTCCTGCCTCAGCTTCCTAGAGTACTAGAACTATGGGCATAGCCACCAAGTTCAGTTCTTCAATATTAGATTCTGTTACATAACTTTTACTGTGCTCGGTGCTAATTTTGTAGATGGTAACTAAAAAAAAAAAAAACAACAACAACAACAACAACAAAAACCCCAACTTCCATTTTCTAATGCAAACAAACTAAAGAAAGATTCCTTTTAAAATGCACTGAGATTTCTGACTCAAGAGTGCTCCCTGCACACAACTGCCTGCTGGTGAATGGGAGTTCAGTGTGAGGAAGCATGGAGTCTGTGTGCAGCAGACCCGTTGATTTTCTTTACAGGACTTAAAGCAAAGTCAGGGTCGACATTGTGGCTAATGGAACATAGAAATGCTTATTTCTCCTTACTAAGACAGTTATTTTTAAAATTCTAAAAAGATCATAAATAAAGCAAGAATAAAAGATATTTAGTATTTTATGACTAAAAGATAATAAAAGGGCACCAGGACCTAGTTAATATTCTGGAGAGGAGGATGTTGCCTTTCAGGATGTCGTAAGTTTTTTAAATGTGCAGATCAAGTTTCAAAAAGCTACAGTTTCTAGAGATGTACTTTTATTTTACTTTTTCTTGAGACAAGGTGTTACTACAGTATATAGTTCAGGCTGACCTTGAACTCTACATAGACAAGGCTGGCCTCGAACTCACAGTAATTCTCCTGCCTCAGCCTCCTGAGTGCTAGAGTTTATTTGGGCTTTTTGAGAGAGGGTTTCGTTATATAGTTCTGGCTGATTTGGAACTCACTATGTAGCCCATGCTGGCCTTGAATTTGAGGCAATCCTCCTGCCTCAGACTCTGGAGTGCTGGGACTACAGGTGTATGTCAACACACCTGGCTTAAAGATGTTTTGTTTTTTTTTGTTTTGTTTTTTTTGAGACAGGGTCTCACTATGTAGTTGAGACTGACCTGGAACTCACTATGTAGTCCAGGCTGGTCTCGAACTCACAGCAATCCTCCTGCCTCAGCCTCCCGAGGGCTGGGATTACAGGCATGCCTCATCACGCCCAGCAAAAGATGTATTTTTAAAGGAGATAAGTCACAGAAAATAAAAAGTCTCATTTTATATATTTAATAATAGAATGAAAATTCTGAGCTAAGAACAAACTAAACTCAATTTCAATTTCCTGTAATTCTATATTTCCAGGAAGAAATCTGTATTTCACAGGTAGAGTTATTTTTAAATTTTTATTTATTTTTTTGAGAGGCTCTCACTCTATTGTCCAGGTTAGCCTGGAACTTGATATGTATCCTAGGCTAGTCTCAATCTTCTGTCTCAGCCTCCCAAAGGCTGGGATTACAGGTGTGTGCCACATCCGGCTATACAAACAGGTAAAAATGAAGAAAAAGCAAAACAATAGAAAGGACCTCATATACATGCCTTTTACTTGGTATTAAGCTGAAGCCATTTACATGTAAGCACTAAGATATGAACTAGAAAAAAAAGTAGTTTGCTTATTATACTTTATTTTATAAGATACGGCAACATCATATAAATTTTTTTTTTTTTTTTTTTTTTTGGTACCAGGGATTGAACTCAGGTCCTTCTGCTTGTGAGGCAGGCAGAAGAACCACTGAGCTAAATCCCCGGCCCTGTGTCATATAAATTTTAAAAGATTCTCAGGTAACAGTGAAACAATTTTGCAGGCAATTTCTAGGTAACCCAGAGAATCTAAGAAAATTATTACTTATGAATTCTGACCAATCAGAAATCTCATAGTAAATGATTGAATCTTTACAAACAGAGCTAATACAAAGCATACACCAAAAAATCTTGACCTAGAAAAGGACCCTTAATATCAATACTGCTCCTCTGGTCCTGAAAAACTGTAAAATGAGTTACACTTTAAAGTGTGTTCTTGGGCTGGGCTATAGTTCAACAGTAGAACGCTTGCCTAGTATGTGTGAGGTGCTGGGTTTGATCCCCAGTAACACAAGGGGAAAAACAACCCCATATATCCTCAATGTGTACTATTGTACTTTTTTCTAGGCAGGAATTAAACTTTAATAATGAATATCCAAGGCCGGGGATTTAGCTCAGTGGCACCACACCTGCCTCACAAGTACAAGGACCTAAATTCAATCCCTAGTACTGGGGAAAAAAAACAAAAAAAACAAAAAGAATATCCAAGATACTGAGACGGTTCCAAAGCTAGGCATGGTGGTACACTCCTGCAGGCCTAGCTACAGGGGATTTGCTTTGAGCCCAGGCTAGCACAGACAACAGGGCAAGACCATCAACACATGCATGCACACACATGTGTACACAAACACACAAACACACACACAAACACACACACACAGACTGTCCTAATACAGGTGAGCAAAGCATTTTATTTGATAGTTTGATATCTCATCACTTGAATATTTGTCTACATTTCCTACACAGTGTATTTCCATGGGGCAATAACTACAATTTATTCAAGTAATATTTTGCAGGACTCATATTTATGAACAGATAGCAATAATGTGAATTATTTTCTGGATGAGGCTCCACTAAAAACCAACTAAAGGGCTGCACATGGTGATATAATGACTATAATCCCAGCTACTAGGGAGACTGAGGTAGCATGACCGTAAATTTGAGGACCATCTGGGAAAATAAGATCTTGTCTCAAAATAAAAAAAAATTGTAAAGAGCACTGGGGTCATACTTCAGTGGTAAAGCCTTCCTGGGTTAAATTCCCAGTGCCAGGGAAAAAAATCAACTAAAGAATATTTCATAACCTTTACAAGTATATATCAAACATGTTTTTTTTCCCTTTTCACTCTAGGGATTGAACCAGGGACCTCACATGTGCTAGACACATACTCTGCCACTGAACTATACCCCCAGCAAAAACAAAGTCTGTCTTTTTATGGTCTTCTGAGACCAGGTCTCACTATGTAGTTCAAGCTGGCCTTCAACTCACTAGCCCAGGTTGGCCTCAAACTCACAACTATCTCCTGCCTCGGTCTTCTGAATGCTGGGATTACAGATGTATTCCACCACACCTGGTAAGATTTTTCTTAATACAGTAAAACTTTATTTTGATAGTTTGTAGGCAAATTATAAAACTGCTAAACAAGTTACTGAAATTTGTATCATGTGTATTTGGGGGGTGCAGATTAATCCGTAGCCGTCACACAAAGCTATATCCCCATCCCTTTATTCTGAGAAAGGGTCTCACTAAATCACTAAATTGTCCAGGCTGCACTGAAACTTGTACTCCTTCTGCTTCAGCCACTCAAGAGTGCAGCAATTCTAAGTGTGTACCCCCATGCTGGCTACTACACGTATTTGTTAATCAAAGCAGCGATATTTAATAAAACTTAAATATATGAGCCAGGCATGGTGGTACATGCCTGTAATCCCAGATGGGAAGCCAAAAGGATCACAGTTTGAACACAGCCTGGATGTTGTCAAAAACCCCCAAAAATAAGTGAATAAAAATGTCTGGGGATGTAGCTCAATGCAAAGGCCCTTGTTTCAATCCCTGGTATCACAACAAAACAGAAAACAAACAAAACCTATTTTAAAATTTAACTATACAAAACAGTTATTTTGCTTTGTTTTTGAGACAGTCTCACTATATTGCCCAGGCTGGATTTGAACTTTTTAGGTAGTCCAGGTTGGCCTCAAACTCATGATCCTTAACGCCACCCCTCCAAGTTCTGGAATTACAGGCCTGCACTACCATGCCTAGAAAAACAGACTGTCCTTTTCGGGTGGCCAGTTATATAATGTCCTTAAACATTTCTTTGCACTGAAGTACTTATAATATTAAATAAGTTTAAAAACTGCTCAAAGACAAATCTTACAGTTTAGTAAAGCAAGCATTTGTTAATCAAAAGTTTTAAGAAACAGCAAATCATTCCTACTAAGGGATACAATAATCAACTCTCAGTTTATTTTGTTTTAAGAAACAGAAACTTACTTCTCCAACGTCCAGTTGCAGGTTGCAAGCAATGAATATATTCAGTAAGTCTCCTCTCGAAAGCCTTTAGATCTAGGTAAAAAGATTTCAGTTCTCTAATTAGCCATTCTTACTAGACATGTGTCTTGAGACAAATTTTGCTTTGTTTTGAGACAAGATCTGACTATGTAGTCCAGGCTGGCCTCAACCTCCCAATGACTGAGATTACAGGCATTTTAGATACACTATTTCATATCTCAACTTACATGCATCCCTGCACTGTTTACTACAACAGCTTCAAGCACAACAAAAACACCAAGTTTCTTACATTATTTTTGATTTCACACATAAGAAAACTGACTGGTTCGTTTTTTTCCCGAAGCTTTGAAAAATGGTATGTGGAAAATTAATGGCAATGTCACTCGGCATCCAAAGCTAGAATTTGGGGGGTTACAAATCAAAATATCAAAATCAAGTACAGCCCAGTTATGTTGGAACCAAGCTATTTCTACTAGGACATCAAAATTTTGGAAGTCCTTTTGACAGCAATTACCCGATTCTGGCTTCCGGCCCTTATTTGTAAATAAGGGCAAGGCTGTCTTATCTCACCAGTCCTGTTAATAACGTGTGTGTGTGTGTGTGTGTGTGTGTGTGTGTGTGCGCGCGCGCGCGCGTGTGGAAAGACTGCTCGTTTCCTCTCCCAGTGGGTTGCAGGTGATCTCGGCCACAGCATCAAAGCGTCGATGCTGTTTTCTAAGACAGGGAGGGGTGTTCTCTTGGATAATAGATCCAAGGTATTCGCTCTCAAGGAGAGATCGGGTGACGTTTCTGTGGTGTCTAAACTCTGAAAAGACCAAGGGGCACCTTCCAACCTCTGCAGATACCAGAACCACGGAAAGCATTAAGGATACAACTCGTGGGATGATCGGTTTAAAATGAAAATGAATTAGGATACTACAATGTGCGAGGTCCAAGTGCTCGCTAAACAACAGAAAACAAAAGTGGAGCCCACAAAAGTGGGCGAGGGACTCCGCGGTACAAGCCGGGGCGACAGAGGCTTCCGACGCACCGTCCCAGCCCCAGCGG